TTTTGCAGTCGCACAGATGGGCCGGCTCGAACCGGGGTGGTATATATTCAACATATACCACGACTTCACAGAAAACCAGCGTGAAGTAGAGGTTTACCTCTGCATTTCGCTTGGTGAGTGCAGGTGGCCGAAGGCCCTTTTTACTGGAAATGAGGCATTCCATCTTAGTACTCACGGGTGACAACGCGTCTACATTTTGATTTGTAATAGAGGATAGATGTAGATGTCTATGGGCCGCAGCAACCACTTACCATCAGGTGGACTGTGTGCTCGTTTGTCACCCTTAACCTATAAAAAAATATACCTACGCATATAATATGCTCGTAAGTTAACGGTACTTCTAATTTTGCTTTAATGTATCGCCAATTTGCAATTAACTTCCATCTAGGGTGACCCTACTCGACTCTGCCATTAATTTCTGCAACATAAATTTGCCTAGTTACTTTTTTCTCATTCATTCTTTCTACATGACCAAATCCTGGACACCACATCTTCCCTACCATACTTTTCCCTTATCACACAATTTCTCACAGTTATTATTTTACAACGTTGTTAAATTCAGTAAAATTGGAACTGTTGCGAGAAAAATAGTCTATTCGTGAATTTCCTGCCACTTCTTGTCACACGGTCTCCCGCAGTAGATACTTGCTGACTTGTTTAAGTGAGTTTTAAGAACTTTAGAACTTTCAAAAAGTGCTTTATAAAGACTAATTTTGAATACAAGTATTATGATTTCAAAACGCAAACTCAATCATCATCATCATCATCATCATCATTACAGCCCTTCACAAGTCCACTGCTGAACATAGGCCTCCCCCAAAGAATGCCACAAAGCACGGTCCTGAGCCATCTGCATCCATCGACTTCCTGCATGTCTTACCAGGTCGTCACTCCATCTCGTGGGGGGACGCCCTACACTTCGCCTACCGGTACGAGGCTGCCACTCGAGAACCTTTTTTCCCCATCGGTTGTCGGTTCTTCGAGCTATATGGCCGGCCCACTGCCACTTCAGCTTACTAATCCATTGGGCTATGTCGGTCACTCTGGTTCTACTGCGGATATCCTCATTCCTAAGTTTATCACGCAGAGAAACTCCGAGCATAGCCCTCTCCATAGCTCGCTGAGCGACCTTGAGCTTCCTCATACGGCCAGCAGTGAAGGACCACGTCTCAGTTCCGTAAGTCATCACTGGCAACACGCACTGGTTGTACAATTTCGTTTTCAGGTTTTGAGGTATGTCTGAAATGTCTGTCTAAATGTTGTAGCATCGAAATAATTTAGTTTGTTTCATGATTGAGTTTCTTTGTTACATTCAATACCCCCCTATGAATGTAACAAAGAAACTCAATCATGAAACAAACTAAATTATTTCGATGCTACAACATTTAGTATATAAAATATAATTATCCGGTAAATATGTAGCCGGCTTAGTTTACATATATTTAGTTTTTTTTTTATGAAATAGATTTGAGATTAAATATAAACTACTTTAAATATAAACGACCTGGTAAGACATGCAGGAAGTCGATGGATGCAGGTGGCTCAGGACCGTGTTTTGTGGCATTCTTTGGGGGAGGCCTATGTTCATCAGTGGACTTGTGAAGGGCTGTAATGATGATGATGATGATAAACTACTTTTTGTAATAAGTCTGGGACTTTAGTCAAACTCCAGTACCAGTATTCAATTAAATGCCTAGATCTTAGACGATACACAATGACGCTCATAACGCTGAAAGTTTTAGTTCATTGGAAAAGTCTTTTTGATGGGGCTAAATGAAAAGACGCTAAGTTCCTTAAATTTATTTCCTTTTCCTGTTATTGCGACGTCTAATCGTATAGTCGTATATTTAAAGGTCCTTTGTGATAGTTTTGGGAACAGAAAATGTAGGTAGCCTACTGCCTATACTGTATTAATGATGCAAAGGAATTAAATTTTTAGCATTCTTTAGAAATAAAACGTCCACCAAACTCATGACCACCCACGCATACTGTAATTATTTCGTTTAATTCGTTAAAAATGGGCCAGGCCTTTTGTTACATACGCGTTAAATTATATATCTATATGTAGATAGGAGGATGACATGTTAAACCCTGCCTATTCTATGTGAATACCCTACTCACATAGAATAGGCAGCGTTTAACATCTCGTAGCTTAAATATATTTGCTTATTAATCATTTTGTATCAGAGAATCCATCACCTTTTTGCTTTTTTTTTGGTTTAATTGCTTAACCGTAGGCTGTCTTAAATTTAGATTGTATCACGCTGTTTACTTTGATATTTTTTTTAATTTTAATTGCAGGCAGTATAATAATCAATGAAGTGTTTCTAACCCCCTTTGCGGAAATTTGATAGGCAGGGTCTACGGCGGTGCGACTAACAATATCTTGAAATTAGTCAACGAATCACATAATATAAAAAAATAATTGTTATATGGCTTTGTCTATCAACAAGCCTTTCCATAAATATGAATAGATTACGTAACCGGCAAAACAGTTCCCTAAAATGAAATCGATGCCCGCGGTGGATGCGCGACAATAGCTTTGCAAAAATATTGAGGGAATTTGGTGTCTCAGGCAGGGCCTGATTTACCCACAGACCAACCAGGCTCGAGCCTTGGGCGCAAGGTTGGAGGGGGCGCTGAGCTTGCCTTTGCAAGCATCACTTATGTACAGAATAAAATTTGGTATAATGTTCTCAATAAATAATAGACATTACCCGCAACCCGGATTTAGTATAAGTATTTTACTTGTTGCTTTTTTGTATTTTTTGGTACAAGAAAAATAAAAAAATTGTAAAAATAAGCCTTTGAATTTTAACCTTTGGTCTTTCGTTGACTGACAGGACGTTATTTAAAGGTTTTAACTGCTCAAGCTCTCTTCTCTATTTCTAATTTTATTAATGCTTTGCCAAGACTGTCTAAGGAACTCTGTCGAGAGATGGAACAGATGGCTAATAGAAGAGAACAGATTCACACTCACTGACCCATGCCGCAAAGGAGGAAGTTTTTTAGGTTCTTTTTTTCTCTTTTTGTGTTCAACTCTTCTCTCGATGACGGGGGGTACACACCGCCGACTATCCCGCTATGTGATAGCACCATGCTGGATGTGCGATTTACACAGTGCTCTGTGTGCAAAAGATCCCTGGACGTCAACAAGTCGAATGGGCCTAATGCCCTCCTATTGTGCTGAAGAGGGGTGCTCCGGGGTTAGCACCGGTTCTAAGGCGTCTTTCCCGGTACTCATACTCCCTCCTAAGTATAATCCTGAACTCATGGAAGATAGCTTTAGTAAACCCGATCTCTTAAAATGCGATCGCACAGACCCGTCCAACTATAGGCTCAACACCATCGCCTCCTTTTTCTTCAAGATAATGGAATCCATTATTAACTGCCAGCTCATAAGGTACCTTCAGGGCCATGAGCTGGTTAGGGACCGCACTGATGGTCTAGCCATTTCTGGTTTTACTCTTCTAATTTACCTGACTCATAGATGAGCGGAAGCAGTAGTCTAAGAGGGAGGTCTTGGCCGTTATTTTGGACATAACGAGGCCTTCGATGGGCTTTGGCACAAAGCGCTTCTATAGAAGCTTCCTTCCTATAGGCTTCCCGAGAAATTGTGCAATTCATCAGTTCAGATCATCAGTTTTCTTGCCGATCGGAGAATCAAGGTCGTAGTAGACGGTGCATACTCCGACTATATACGACGAGGCAATTAATGCTAGTGTTCCACAAAGCTATCATATACGCTGTTTCTTCTGTGTATCAATTATATGTTGCTGTTACTGGTTATAACACTGGTGATGCTTTTATAACAGCCGTGCTAATATTTCTTGGGAACATGTCATCAAGTATCGGAACAAACTTGTGTCTGTAGTCGAGTATTAATAAACAAAATCTCAGATTGGGGACGACCAGTTCAAACTTCAGAAAACACAGTTTTGCGCGTTTACCGCTAAAACGAACCCCTTTGTCATATCTCCTCAATTTTAGGGCACTTCCCATGCTGCCTTAGCCATCATCGGAATCCTCGGCCTCGACATATCGAATGACGTACAGTTCAGCGGTCACTTGGAAGGGAAGACTAAATTAACCTCTAAAAAGCTTTGCGTGCTCAGAGAGTGCGACATTATTTCATGCCAGTACACCGTTTGCAACTTTGCAAGGCGCAAGTTCGCCATGGCCCTCTTCTGTAAAACAAAAATAGTTTCTGAATCATCCGCATTTCCCCATAGCATAATCCCATAAGACATTATGCTATGGAAATAACTGAAATAAACTTGACTGCATTCAGCTAAAAGAGTGGCTCGAATCGTCGACGACCGAGTTCTTTCTGATCGGCTCGATTCACTGTCTCTGCAAAGAAATGTTTCATTACAATGCATTTTCTATCGCATTTTCCACGGGCAGTACTTAGATTGTTCGGATTAATTTCAGCCGCCAAATTCCACCAACGCACATCTGGACAAAACTCACAGTACCATCCACACCACCTGGATGCTTGGCGGTCCACCGTGACTGTGTGATTTACTAGGAGTTTTCTTACTCGTAAGAATTCTTTGTGGAATCGTCTACCACCGGCGATTTTTCCGGACCAATACGACTTAGAGATCTTCAAAAAACGAGCTTACTCCTTTTAAAAAGGCCGGCAAAGCACCTGCAATTTCCTTCTTTTGGTTTTGGTTTCAAGGGCGATAGTCGACACTTACTATCAGGAAAATTTAATTTAACGTGTACGAAACCGCGGAGTGGTAAGCTAGTAAAATATAAAAATCTAGTAAATATATTCGTGGGATGGTCAGGCACAGATAGAACAGACTGGTGGGGGAGCGCATATTCATAGTTAGCCTAGGGCTGTGGGAACTCTAAATCAGGCACTGGCCTCAGGGGATAATTTTCATTGTTTTAAAATTTAAAGCAAGGTAGTGAGTTTAAATTATATAAATCCATACAAAACAACTTTAAGTTTGTTTGCACTTTAACGTTTTAGATTTATTTCTTACCACCACCGCTTTTGTAGCAGAGATATGGGAAGCGCCATACATTTCCGAGACCAACGGAGTAACCAACACAGGCTAGCACGAACTGTATCTTATTGGCCCAGAAAGGTCGTCGTGGTTTCAGATGTACCGTTTCGTCGTCTTCCTCTTCTTCGTCGCAGTCGCTCTCGTGTGATGCTGTATCTTCGTCTGGAGGTCTGAGGATGAAATTTATTTATTGTTTTAAAATTAATTAGAAAAGCATTGAAAAATTTTAATGAAGTCGTATGTATGTATGTTGTTACCTATGACTATGATTATAAACTTTACAATATAGAATACATTGTCAAAAATACGTTCTTAAGCCACTGCATATCTCATCGGTTTTTAACCTCACTCCATTACGAGACTGCTATTTGATAACATATGTTCCGCTACCATTTTACGAGCTATATGGACAGCTCATTTCCATTTCAGGTGATTGATTAATATATGTATGTCAATGTTTATTACTTTGATTATATTTATTGGGAAAATCTATATGTATTTAAAAGCTTTTGTCGCGTCCAAGTTTTGACAGCGCCACAGTCGCTCTAACAGTGGCAGGTTGATTGTATAGAAGTGCAGAAGTGTTTTTACAGTAAAGCTACGATGGCTTGAATAATGTACAGAACCAGAATACGAAACCTATCCAACTGCAGGAAGTGTAAGACTGGGTGACGTTATATCCCTGTAACTCTTCCCCGCTGCTTTGAAAGACGTTTTCAAGCTATTGGACTGCAAATAATACGGTAACAATGGTAAGTCCATCACTCAGTTTCGATGTTGTCAATTGTTTTGCAGTTGACTGTTGTTCAATTGTGTCCCCTAAAGGATAGGTTTTAATGTGAACATGAACAAGATAAAGGATATGTGTAACGTATATGTCACGTCTAAGCTGGTAGTTACGGACGATGCTAGATTTATAGTTAATCCAATTTTTATCACCGAGAGATTTAATAAGGCTTTTAAAACTGTGGGTGATAAGAAATCGGCTTTATTATAAAATAAAACCATAAAATTATTAATAAAATAATAATTAATATTATATAAAATATATATAATATAATATAAAAATTATTATTAAAATAATAATTTTACTATTATTGCTCGAAATATATTACAAAACATAGTACGAGTATATCACATCATCATCATCTGCACCGTCCAAATTTCGACAGTATCGAACGCTTTCAAATGCGTAAATATTCGAAGTAAATAGGTTTACTAGCATAGGCATTGGTTAATCAATAATTTTGTTTAGTTTTACAGTTAAACTTATTTTTTATTACTGAGCGACCCACATTGAACAGACTTATGTTAAACCACTCTCATTAAAATTAACTTTGAAAAATAGGAAAATGATGACTTTAGGCTATCAAGAAAATTAAACATTTTACCTAATTCTGGTTATTATAAACGAAAATTTCTGTTCTGTCATTTATTATGATTGCAAAACAAGCGATCTGCCCCGGCTGCTTTCGCTTGGGTAACGTCTATGAATGCGTCATTTAGACTTTTTTAAATAATCATCAATGGCCATTTATTTTATCAATTTAATAATTTCGCAAAAACATCTTTAAGTTTATAAAATACAGCCTGGATCACTCATGGTATTGCTCTCTATCTGTTCATGAAGTTTCATTACAATCGGTTTAGCCATTTCGAAGATTAGCATAAGAAGATTAGACAAAATTTTCACAAATGGTCATTAATGTCTTTATGCCATGCAAATAAGCAACTCGCTAAAAGAGAGTTTATGGTATTACAGATAGAAAATTATATTTATAGGTATTCTAAACTAACATTAAAAGCTATGATTTTCTTAAAAATTTGAACCTTATAAAAATTCGTTGATCGTTCTTTTAGGGTTTATATTTATATAATGATTTCTTATATTTACGCGAACACTACACATTTATATAAAACTAGTTTTAAGGATTTTATCGCGTATATTAACTTAATTTATATTCCCGACGTTTCAAGTACTTTACAGCACCCATGGTCACGGGGGGGGGGGGGGGGGGGGGCTGAGGTGTTTGACGTACCAATGTCATAGTTAACCACGGCTACCTCCAGATTAAAAATTATTAATTTTTGTTCCGATTTATTACTTACAGGATCCCAAGTAGTTGGTACCATCTGCTTGGGATCCTATAATTAATAAAATTAAATCCCAATCCAAGCATATAACTGCATGACTTCAACATACTGTATGTTATACTGTGTAGATCGGAATAAAAATTAATACTTTTTAATCTAGAGGAGGAATTTTGAACCTAATTTTTAATCGCGATAAAATCCATAAAACTAGTTTTATTTAAATTTATAATTATACTGATAGTATTTCCTTGTGTGATTTTCAACTATCATTATTTCAGCGACAGTAATATTGTTTCATACTAGCGATCCGCCGCGGCTTCGCCTAAGTAGGATCTAATAATGTCCTCCAGACCGAATTTCGGTCACGGCGCCCAGTTTCAACGGAGACTAGCCATCTGCGCGGGACAGGATTATAGTGCCCAAGTGTATGCGCAAGCACAGGTGCACTCTCTATTCCCTCACTCTCATAGTCCGATGGGACGGTAAATCGGCACGACCGGAGAGAGATCAGGCGCAGGACCAACGGCTTAACGTGCTTTCCGAGGCACGGGGGTGAGACTCCGCCAACTTCCTGACTCCGGGCAGCTACTGAGAATTTCTTGATAGAAAAACTCAATAACTGTTTTTTTTGGCCCGACCCAGCATTCGAACCCGGGACCTCATGATCAGCAGTCGCACAACTACAACCACTAGACCAACGAGGCAGACCATCTATTAATGTGCCGATATTTATATTTAAGATGTTCAAAGACCATTTAATTTAGCAATACTTCGTTTTATCAAAGAAAAATCGAAGATCAATCCTGGCACTGCTCTTTATCTGTTCGTGTAGTTTCATTACAATCATTGCGAAGATTAGCCCGGACAGGCATGCAGATAGAGAGACAAAAGTTTCAATAACGTTTTTTGTGTGAATTTTAATAACGAGATTAAGTTTAGTATTTTTACCAGTGTTTCCAAAAATGCATAAATAATTCTATCTATATCCGTAATTTCTTTTACGACACAAATTAAAGTTCTTTGCTAAAATGTAGTGAAAACGCATAGTCAAGTCAAGTCAGCCAAAGTATAAATCTACCAACGGTAACAACGATCAAAAGTTAAACATTGATGAACTCATGAAGTTGAAAGATGCTTCAAGATAAATTAGGTGACATTATAGACCATTATCATTTTTTTTATTTAAAGATATAATATTAAAAAAATGTTATAAAGAAACCTGACCAAACCTAGGCAAGTTTTCATCATATTTAACAAGCGTATGTTTGTATGCTATGATATGTTTATTTTCTTCAAATTAGTTGCTGATAACATTATATCATTGATATGAAAATGTAAATATTTCATAAAATATTATGAATGATTAAATATTTCATAAAATATTTGAATTAAATGATTTTAGAATCGGATGACGTATTTAAGAAAAGTAAGTTGTATAGAATTACACATACGTTTTAGCTTTATAATAATAGTTAACCGTGCATGTGTGAATGTACATATAGTATGTCTATGTATGCATGTTATGGAATTTTAAAATTCACTTTTCACCCACTTCCAAACGTCTAAATAATCTGAAATGTTGCGGACGTTTTAATAACCAATGAATACAATAATTTCATGACTATGACCTGGTATTCCACTAGCATCATCACCGCTCACGATCAATGCGTCTTGTTTAAGTTTATTTAACTCTAATATTTTATTATATTTCTATTCTAGACTGCCACAATCTAATCTAATCACAATCTATCTACAAACGTCAATAACCTAATGGCAGAACGCGGACCGCGAAAGGTCGTGGGTTTGAATCCGCCATTCGACCACTGTCGTGAACCACTTCTAACACAAGCGTTTTAAGCTTACCAGAAGTAGTTAAAGGGAATATTAGTAATGTAAAGTGGGCGGGAGGTGCTCTTCACACTTATGGGCCGGCTCGAGCCGGGTTGGTACCACGACCTCACAGAATACCGGCGTGAAGTAGAGGCTCTGCTTCTGCGTTTCGTCTGGTGAGTGCAGGTGGCCGGAGGCCCAATTCCCCCCCCCCCCCCCCCATCAACATGGTAGCGGAATTAGACAATAGACTACCCCAGGAGGGTACCAGTACCCCTGGAGAATCCCTCGCTGAGCATCCACGACCATGTTATTCCAATCCTGAGCGTGGGTGCTCAGGCTGCCCCGCGTATTCTGGGGGGGGCAAAATTCCGCTCAAAAACAAAACTGCTCGGGGCAAGCTGAGCAACAATACCAAGGCGACCCCTGCCACGCTATCCGTGAATTTCTGCAACATCAGGGGACTTCACTCTAACCTAAACGCCGTCCACTACCATCTCGAGACGGCGAAGCCGGCCTTGCTCTTTTTGACCGAGATGCAGGTTTCCTCTCCGACTGATATTTCGTATCTCTCCTACCCGGGGTACAAATTGGAGCACTCCTTTGTGCCTCGGGCTGGAGTTTGCGTGTATGTTAGAGAGGACATCTGTTCTCGACGCCTCGGCAGTCTTGAAGGTTCGGACCTGTCCATCCTTTGGCTACGCGTAGACAGCGACGACCATCCGCGCGTCTACGGGTGCCTCTATAGGTCCCATAGCGGTAATGCCGAAACAGACCGACTCATCGACCACGTCCAAATGGCTACAGATTCCTTGCTACAACAGGTCCCATCCGCAGAGATCGTGATCCTTGGCGATTTTAACGCCCACCATGCCGAATGGCTCGGTTCACGTGTAACCGATCATGCGGGGAGATCTGTTTATGACTTTGCCTTGGCATATGGTCTGACACAACTGGTTACTTCGCCTACGCGGATTCCAGATGTGGAGGATCATACACCTTCCCTGTTGGACCTTCTGCTGACCTCTCATCCGGACGGATATCAGGTTTCCGTCGATGCCCCTCTCGGCTCTTCGGACCATTGTCTGATCCGGAGTATGGTGCCACTCACGCTCCCTTCGCGGTTGCGTTCTGCAGGTTGCCGCCGTGTTTGGCATTACAGGTCGGCGGATTGGGACGGAATGCGGTCTTTCTTTGCATCCTACCCATGGGGGCGGGTTTGCTTCTCGCCGGATGATCCCAGTGC